GAAGCCGGCGACCGAAAAACAGCAACAGGAAGCAGCAGTAGTGCGCATGGCAAGGAAAAGAACTACGGCGGCCATGGAGGGTGAGTTTAGGAAGAGCAGCGGCAGTGCGCACGAATATATGATGATGAAAGAGAAGAAAGAGATATAGGATCAGCGACAGTGGGTTTAGAGAAGAAAGAGGATGATTGATGACGATGAATGATGGATGATGACGGCTGTTGGTGCGTTGTTGATGAAGAAAGCAGCAGCAATTAAGCTTGGTACTTGGCAGCGGTACAACGGAGAAGAAGGAGAAGAAGGAGCAGCGGTACCATGAAAGAAGGATGATACCATGAAAAGATTGATTTTCTGTATTCCGTTTACGTATATGTTGTACAATATTTATAGTCATAATTTACATAAATCCTAGCCGTCTACCGAAACCCTATTTAGGGTTACCTAAAATACACATCCTATCATTTGCGTTTGACATTTTTTTGACGGTAACTTTGATGGATGCCACTGTTACTCGATAAGGGGTTTTTGTTCAAGTTAACATTTGATGGAATGTGGTTAAAACTTCATCATATCAAACCACTAATTTGATATGTTTTTCTTTATCTCTTCAACAGTTCAACTTTATTGGGACTAGTACTGGCAGAAATCCAACCCTGCTTTGCCCTGATTGTGATGAAGGAGTCAAATCTCTTTTGAAAGCTATTTTCCACATATGTTTCATTGAGAATCTTAAGCAAATAGACATGAGAGTTTTCATCAACCTCGAATATCAATTCAAGTTCATTAAACATCATTATACTGTCTAGAACAACCTTTCTAGTACATGTCCTCACCATCAATTTCAATCTACTTTTTCTTCTTCGTGATCATGGCTACCTTTTCCTTGTTTAGTCCTGCATAGAGGTTTATTGTCCTTTTTAGTTTTTGGTACATATTAAACTCATAATATTCCTTATACGGCTAGGGCTGTCCTAATCGTGTAGCTTATGACAGTCTTAATCGTAAAGATTGTTCAATAATCCTACTATGTTACAACTTAAAACTGCATGGGCCAACCTTGTGCAGGTAGAAAGGAAATATAAAGATTAGAGAACTATTGAATACTACCCTTTTTGCAGGCATTTCTTACTCATTTTTACTCATAATTTAGTGTCAATTAGTTAGAATTAGTTTACTTTTGGGGTGATTTTGCAGTTTAGGTATCTAAGAGAGCTAATGTGGAAGTTTAGCATAAATGAGGATGAAATTGCACAAAAAGACATAAAAAGGACTGGAATGGAAGCTGCTAGAAATTGAGCAGGTGGAAGGTCGATCAGAGCTGGAGCAAGTGGAGAAATCCTTGCCGCGGAAGGAAGAATGACAGCAGATAATCACAACTTTGAAGAATCTGCAGTAGCACACTCAATTGAGAGGAAGAATGTCGGCTGCTTTGCTGCCAAGTTGTTGCTGCTGTCAATCAGGAAGAACCAAGGCCAAATTCATGCTGTCAAAGGAAGGAAATTATTTGCTATCACTGCAAATTATAGATACTGCAAGTTGAAGAAGAGAAAGAGGGAGAATATATGGAAAGCAGCAGCTACAACCTGCTACTTACCTACTGTGACTGCTGCTGCTGAATTGATGGATTGGCTGCTACAGTTAGGTGAGAAATGGTGTTGCAAGTAATCACAGGATACACGGAAGAAAAAGACAAACAGATTTGGGCTGAATTTGAGCTGAAAGACAATGATGGAAGGAAGCATGTTGTTGATGCTACTGCTTACTACTACTGCTAGTTGGACTGCTGAGGAATAAAGAATGAAGAAATGGAGATTTGTGGCTGCAAATTGTAGGAATGCGCCGAAGAAGAAGACTAAGAAAAAGCAGCAACGATGAGTAGAAGATGGCTGATTACGGCTGAAGAAGGAAGGAGCTACCCAGAGAAGGCACCAACTTGCTAATTGGGCAAGTTGCTGAATAAACAATTGCCTTTAGCTGCTGCAACTTGCTGTCTCCTCTACTTTGCTCAATAGAAGGCCAAAAACTCGACCAATCCAAGACTCTCCAAATCTCTATAAATAGTCAGTCAACAGCAGTTAGAAAAATAATAGATTGGGTAGTTAGATTTAGTCCAAAAAACAGTAGTTAGGTAGTTAGTTAGTAGGTTAGAAATAGGGTAGTAGCAAGAACAAGGAGGCAAACTGTCACTCTGTAAGGTGGCAAACGTCACTCACCATAGTGAGCAGGTAGAACTGTCCCTACTACCATCTTCTCTTTCTTTCCTCTAACCTTTTGATTCAGGCTTATATCTTATCTTTTGTACTCTGTTGCTCTCATGTTTAACTCAATAAGCATGAGTAGCTAACTCAGTTAAGGGTTCAATCCCTACTATCTTTATGTGAAGGTTTTGATTCAGTTTTCTTGATGAGGTGTTGTGCCTAGATAAGTGATTTAATTATCCTTTTAATGAACTTGGTAACTTAATCAAATATGCTTGCATGGTTATGAATATCTGGAAGGGGACGCATTACCTTAGAACTACTTATTCTAGTCTATGACAATGGAGAAAATCTACCTTGATGTTCCAGACATAAATGGAAGTTAGGTGAATGGCATAGGCGATCATAAAGGCCTTAAGAACTCAATGCTTTAGATTAAATTGCTTTGACTGAAAGGTAGAGATAATCTAGGACTTTTTATCTATCTGGAAGGAATTATAAAGATATATAAATGCCTGATTGAACAACTAATCATACACAACAAGAATATTTGAATCAAAACCGGATCATAAAGGTAGGAAGGTGATTAAACCCTCTCACTCTTCACTCTGCGACGTGACTATTCTCACTCTCCCAAGTGACAATCTGTTCAAACTTATTTTTTTTTCTTTTTTGCACTTTAATCAGATTTTGAGCGGTTGACTGTCGTCTCTATGAAATGACCCTGCTTACAACTAGCTAATAGTTTTAAGGAATTTTATAAATTATTCTTTTAGGAAGTGGATCAAAAACACTACCCAAATCCATCCACTATACTACAAAAAGGCTCAAACTTTAAGAAAAGTTTCATACATTATTTGTCCTAGGACACAAAATGAACTCAGGCAATGTCTTCCAAAAATGGATAGTCAGTATATCCAACAATAGGATCATCTGTGTAGAAGGTCTCTCTGTCATACCCATTAAGAGATGCATTGAGCTCAAATCTCTTTGGCAAATCGGGATTCGCCAAGAAACTCCTCCCATACGCGACAAGATCAGTGCGATTTTCATGCACAACTCTAATACCGGTTTCTCTGTCATATCCGCCACCAATCATAAAACTACCTTTAAATGCCTTTCGAAAAGGGACAAGAATATCATCAACATGAGATGAATCTTCAGTTTCTTCCCAACGAGGGACGACCAGATGAATGTACGAAATCCCATATTTATTCAAAGCTTCCGCTATGTAAAGACCTAATGCCAAGGGATTTGAGTCCCCTGCACCATTGTAAGTGTCGAAAGGGGAAAGCTTAATCCCAACCCTTTGAGGTCCAATTGCATTGCAAATTGCTTCAACTATTTGCAGAACAATTCTACAACGATTTTCCAATGATCCTCCATATTCGTCGGTCCGATCATTGACTTGATCTTTTAAGAATTGTTCGATAAAATAGCCATGAGCTCCATGAATCTCAACCCCATCAAAGCCTGGCAAATTTTGTGACCCCATATGCATTTAAAGTTTATTTTTAATGAAAACTAATGAAGATACAAATATAATTGTTACCAGCTTCGATTGCATTAATAGCAGCAACCTTGAAATCATTCACAACTTCTGGAATTTCCGCAGCCTTTAGACGCCTTGGAGGTGGATATGCATTGATTTCAATGCCACCCACTCTTAGTTGAAGTTTTAGTGGCCTATCAGTGGATGAAATTGGAGCCTCTCTATTGGGCTGATAATCTGTGTCTCCAATAATTATTATAAAATAGTTATTTAATTTTTATAATTTTTTAGTACAATAAACAATATAATAATCATTCCTCAAACACATGAACATGCAATTTAATCTATTTATCTATTCTTTTATTCCCCTTTCAAGAAAAAATAGAATATATGAAGCCATTGTAAAACATCAAGAGGAGATTTCCTACATTAGAAAGATTAAATTACAGTCCGCGAATTGAATAATAGTTTAATGGTTAGAATGTTGTATTTTCTGGAAGCAATCTGGAGTTCAACTCCCACTAAGGCATTTGTAATGAAAATTTTACTTACATTTAAGTAGGGCTTATAGGGATGAATTCTTTTTTTTTAATAAAAAAAAAACTAAAATTACAATTTTCCTTAAAACAAGATAAGGAGCCCTTTCTTCCAAAATAGGAGGGGAAGGAAAACAGCAAAAAACAAAGATATTGATCCCTCCCCTCCTAATACGTACAAAAAGGATAGATGTTGGTAGCACAAGATGAAGGTACCCCTCAAGTTTACTTGAAAAGCTAACTAACTTTTATACTTGGTTCTGTTGCATAACGAATAGCCTTAGAGATTCTTGTACAAAGCAAGGGATACTTGATGTTTTTTGTACTGATTTTGGAATCGACAGTTGACGATTCTACTCTCTCCATCCAACAAAAATAGTTATACTATGAATTGTGACTTGTTATTTTAACATAATTATTATTTAGAATGTGACTTATTTTTGTGACACAAGAATAATTAAAAGGAGCATTATATATATTTTCTCACATAGAAAATTTGATTTTGCCAAACAGGAAAGTATATATAATGTTAATTACCATAGGTAGAAATTCTTCCACAGTGGTAAATTTGGCAAAAGAAAATGCCACCTTTGTCATGAACTGCATTTACAATTGGTTTCCAGGCATCCACTTGTTCCCTAGTCCATATACCAGGAGTACCTGGACACCTTCAATTTAATAGTTGATAAATAAATATGACTTTTATTTTTATGCCGTATATGTGACTAAAAGATAAATAAAATTAACCAAATAATTCGCAGAAATATTGCCTCTTACCCTATGCCTGTTTCAGATATCGTCGTTCCCTCGGATATGAGCAAGCCACCTTTGGAGGTTCTCTGACTGTAGTACAATATGGCGTGTGGTTGTGGAATATTGCCATAAGACCTTTGCCTTGTTAGAGGAGCCAAAACTATTCTGCATATTTATATTTGAACAAGATTAATTAAATTATAGTACTAGTATATAGCAAGCTAGTGATTACGAGTAATAAGTATGTTTTCGTCACCGATGAACATAGACCTTATTTGTTTTTCTTTGTTTTTTTTTTTTTTTTTTTTTGGTTAGAAGGAAGTGAGTACTACGTTTTTTTGGTTTGAAGGAAGTGACTACTATATTGTATATACGTACCTGTGAGATAGCTGGAAATTTCCGAGCTTATATGGAGTTAGCAATGGGATCGTCGAGTGGAGCTGGAGATGCACCTCTTCCTCTTCTCCATGATTATTAACCTTCCTTTCCATTTTCTGGAAAGTTATTGCCTTCAAATGGCTTTCTTGAATGGGAAATCTGAAATATTTAGATGGAGTATCTGGCCGCCAGGGTTATGCATAATGATTGATTTCTAGAGTAAAAGCCAATTTTGATGTGAAGTATGGGCCATCTTATCTCTATAGTTTTGTCCGAGTGTAGCAAGTAGATGAATTTTCCGCCCAACTAGCAATGGTTGGAAATTTGCCGAACAACTTGAAGACAACTACATTTATGGTGCCTGAAACTTTACGTTCCGAACCGATTCGACATATTCCAAAAAGTTCGATAAAGCCTGTATTCGTCTATGTTTTGAAAACCAGACTGGAGAGCGAACTGCTAGCTCTACTGGGTCATTGATTTAGTGGTTCAGACCAGTTTCACTGTTCTAAAAATTCAATTATGTCATTATGACGCAATAAATAATTATAAATATTATAATATATTTTACAACATAAATACTAATATTTATATGACTTGACAACTTACAAATAGTTTCTATTTACTCCTTAAAAAAGATTTATCATTGCATTCATATAGAAATATTAGATTGATAATAGGTAAAGTAGTCATATTGTATGGAAAAAGAACATAGACTTGAAAAAGTTATTTAGCTAATTTGTAAATTAAAAAGAGAGAATCAATATGTAAATATCTATAATTGTTAGCATTTGTAATATGTTAAAGATCATGAAATATTACATAGCTATAATGCTTATACTTTAAATGATTAATAGGTAAAACTTGTTAAACCATTGTGTTGAAACATTTATACAACTTTCAAATGATTTATTTTGAAAATTTTAAGAACCATTGTACTAATATCTAAAACTATAAGTTTCAATATGCAATTGTGTCTATAGTACCACTAAAGTCAAAAACCTATCTCCTCTCTCATTCTTTCTCCCCAGCCGCAACAACCACCTCTCATCTCCTCACCCATCTTGTCCATTTCTCCCCTCTTTTTCTACATCTTCGTCGGTTTTTCTTCGAATTCTTTTTGCTTCAATCTTCTTCTTCGTCGGTTTTCCTTTGTATTTCCTCTTGTTCTTTGTTTACTCAATTTATGAAGCCCCGTTTCTTTTTTTTTTCTTCAATCTTCATTTTAATTCCTAATTTCTCATTATATAAACAACAATAATTGATCTAAAAATACCATAAATTCGCCTATTATATTCGTTCACCATTATAAATTCAAAAATAATTTAAGTCCTACCGAAAGTCATGTTTTTGCCTTTTTCCACTTTTTCATCATTTCTCGGTTAAAAAAGTGACGGAGACTTGACTTTCACGTGCTTTTATAAAAAGGGCAATTTTATCATTTACTCACAGTAGTGGGCACGTGCAAGGCACATGATCTATTTACTCTTCAGATATTAACCCAAAGAACTGATTTACTGATTTACTTACTATTCGCGTAGATTTTATTTATATTTACTGATTTACTATTTATTATAAATAATTTTTACCGGTCTCTATATTAACAATTCCCAATTCCCCATTTCCAATCGGGAACCATTCCAAAAACTCTAATTTCGATCAGGTCAGCAAACTATTCCCGAAATCCACCAAGCCAAAAAGAAAAAAAAATATTGAAGACCGGGGAGGAAATTTTCAAATTGTGAAGCCAAAGGAGGGAATCTCCACTCGTGAAATCGTGAAGAAGAAGGAGGTCCATTTTAGGAACCGAGTCGGATCTGTACTACTCAAACCTTACCCACTTTACTCTCTTTTTGGGTACCCATCACACTTCTCTTCTACTCTAGCTTCCTCTATTGTGAAAATGGTCTCTGGATCGAGTTCTTCTTCCAAGAGATCCGTTTGACCGAAATGCTCTAGACCCGTCCGGGTTTGCCTCTGTACCCATTTCAAGACCCTACGTATTGAGAACTCTGCAGCTGTCATGATTCTCCAGCAAGCCTTGAGAAAAAACATCCCTTGAATTCTACCTTAATACCTTCTTTGGGGCATGCTAATGTTAATATAGTTTCAGTTTCTGATGTTACCTTCGGAGCTCGGTTGTAGTTCGCCTATGTGGCATTGATGAGAAAGTGGTTTCCAGCCAGTTGGACGAGGGAAGAGATTTTTGTGGGTTTGGGAATTGCAAAACGAGGTGGGATTCTTTCAAAAAAAGAGGGACAATTTCCTCTGGAAAAATGGTGGAAAGTTACGTTTTTTAGAAGTGTTTGGAGGATCCAAAAGAGGAAAATAATCTGGATCAATATTTGATGGTTGTATCTTGCTCACGTGCCCATTACTGTGAGTAAATGACAACATTGTCCCTTCTACTTAGATATGGGCAAGTCAGGCGTCCGTTGACTTTTTGCCGGGAAAATGACGTAAAATTGAAAAAAGACAGAAACATAAATTTGGTGGGACTTAAATTTTTTTTGAATTTATAAAGGTGAACGAATATAATAGATGAACTTATGGTACTTTTTAGATTAATTAGTGTATAAACAAACAGAATTTAAAAGATTCAAGGGAAAAAATTGAGTTCGGAGAAAGTAGCCGGAAAGTGGAGGACAAAAAAAAATCTAAACTGAAAATTTGTTCCCCAAAAATTGAAACAAGGGTCAGCCGGTTCTTATCAGTTTACGGTTCAACCGCCGAGTTTAACCGAGTTTGACCGATTTTTAACTAAAGTGATTATTTACAAAGTTCGGACCTTTCATGTCTTCGGTTCCTGACCAACCCAGTTTGATAGCCCGGACTGGTGCGATTTTAACAACATAGCTAAGTGCCATTAAATTTTTAATTCATTTTTAGTAACTATTTGATGCCAATTGCGAACACCCGCTTAACATGTCCCATATTTCACCGCTTACATTACAATTTATTTGTAGTATAATTAGTTTAAAATTAGGTTTTATAATTAGGATTGGCGAGAATATTGCCACGAAATTGTTTAAGACTTAAAGGCAGCCATCTAAACTCCATTATGCTTAACCCCACTAAAATCCCGGCATCTTTTTCTAACCAGTAAGATATATACCAAACTACCATGTATATCGACTTCCCATTATTAGGCAAAAGAGAATGCCACCGCTGTCATGAATTGCAATTTTGTAATGATATATCGAGTCGGGATTACAACTCGAAAAATCAAAGAAAGGCAGGAGAGATTTTTAACAAACTAAAAGATTCATTGATTTCTTCATCTTACGTTAATAGTATTAAAATTACATATTTATAGACTAATAAAAAACTAGAAAGTAGGGAAGATTAACTCCCACTAACTCTATGACTCTATTAACTACTTGTAAAACTAATCCACTACTTGATAGTTACTAATCCTCAAATTTACTGACAATTACTAATTAATACAAAGAAAAAAGATCGTTTAACTATAGTACTTCCATGGCATTACAATACTTCCTCCGTCAGATTAGGCTTTGTCCTCAAAGCCTATATCAATTCGGTTCCTTCAAAAGAGTAAAGGCCCGTAAATTGAGCCTCCCAAAATAAAAGTTGCCCCAATCTTGAATTAGGAGACACATCGTTTGCTTTTCTAGCAGAGCAAAATATCTAGCCTCCAGATATTTCACCATCAGCAAGAGAAACCCATATGAAACAATAAGGTCACGCGGCTCTAGAGGTGGTAATTGATAGGCATGGAGGGTGGATTCATTTTGTAAAATTGTGGGTGTAACCGGAAAAGGTAAGAATTGTTGTGGCAAAGGTTTGGTATTGGTAGTGTGAATGAAGGAATCCACTTGATTCTTGGTTGTGTAATTGGCATGGTGATCTGGTTGGGTTGTGGTTGTGGAATTTGTTTGTCGATGAAAGAAGGTGTAGGGGGTAGAGGACCAGATTTTTGTTGGGTTTTGATGATTGAAGTTGAAGTTGGTGTTGGTTTTGGCAGCGTTTGTGGTGGCGTTGCGATAGTGATGGGGATGGAACTTGGCAGCGATGGAGAGCCTGGGACTGAGTTTGGAGTCATAGAGATGAAGGTGGTTAATATTGGTGGTGTTGGTGGAGTGAAGGTGGTTGTTGGTGTTGGAAGACCACAATGCAAACTCATGTTGTCGACCATCGTATGAAGGCGCTGCAATTTGGCAAAAATTTGCCGAATTACTTCGTTGTGATCAGCCATAAAAGCTGAATTCAATGAAGGCACCAATGTAATGATATATCGCTGTTCGAGTCAGAGATTAGAACTCCAGAAATTAAAGAGAGGGAGGAGAGATTTTTAACAAACTAAAAAATTCATTGAGTACTTCTTTTTACGTTAATAGGATTCAAATGACATATTTACAGACTAACCAAAAACTAGAAAGTAGGGAAGATTAACTCCCACTAACTCCATGACTCTATTAACTAGTAAAACTAATCCACTACTAGATAGTTACTAATCCATAAAGTTACTTACAATTACTAATTAATAAAAAGTAAAAGATCGTTTAACTATAGTACTTCCATGGCATTACAAATTTGCAATCGGTTATCCAGGCTTCTCACTTGTTCCTTTGTCCTTATACCTGGACTACATGGAAACCCTTAACCATCTTATGTGGTATTTATTTCAGCTGTCCCTCCACCCAATTTCGAAATACTTATGATATATACTCTTCTAAGAGCTTAGATTTCAAATTGGTTTAAATTAGCTACAGTTTATACAATCCTTACACAGTTTTTTGTTCACTACTCTGAGTACATATCTTATACTCCGTCGGCCCAAAGAATCCGTCTTTGTTGAACTAAAATAACATAACGTCTCTGATTAATCTACGAATGGGCCAGGTAACACAGCTTTGTATGGATAAGTTCTACGAAAAACGTTATTGAAACACAGAAAAAGGAACACTTGTGGATAAGAGAGCTAATGAATGGTCACTATAGCTGCAATTCATTATTCACTAATTGGCACGTACACATGCATTTAACATATTCCACAACTTCCACTTCAGTCTAGAGTTGGGGACTTTCTCAAGAAATTCATGTAAAGAACGATCTAAACCTTGTTGATCGAAAACTCGTTTCGTTGCGGTACATTGCTGTTTTATTTGTAATTATCGCCAGAACCAACAACAGCAGACCTTGGGTGTGATCTGAAGGTGGCATTGATCTCCACCCACGGAAATTAAAGGGAGAAAATATTGTCGCATGTTCTGTTAGAAGCTCCATCATTTCCTAACGTCTTCCACTTCCTTGTTCTCATTCTGTCTTCCCCAATGAAAGAGAGGACTCTTAACTCGGAAAAAAAAGTTCGTCCATGCTGAGGTTTAGTAAAAATCAAGAAAAAAGTGCTAAGGCAATTGAAGACGAGATACTATAAATGTAAGAGCAGGTAGAAAAAACGAGTAAGGAAGGGTGAAATGGTAACCGAAATTGGCCTGAGGGCTTATGCTATCTGTTTCAGCACATAAGAAATGAGGAAGAAGAAACCAAAACAAAAAAGGGCTAAAAGCTATATTTTACCCAAAAACAATATGTCAAATAAAGTGAAAAGGCTGACAATTGGCATGACTGATGAATCCGGTAAGGTAGTCAAAACTGGTTGATCACAAGTTATACATGGAGGCAATCAATTGTCCTACATATTGACCAATCAATTAAATGTTTTATTATCACATTTCTGTAGCATCAAGCAGAACTGACTATAAAGCCATGAGACGATGAAGAAATTAGAACAGATAAATGAACACGAGGAATGTTTTATAATAAGGTACCAATTAATACTCGAACTATTTTATTAATACTAACATAAGTGTTTGAAAGTGTAAATATTTAACATTGGAGATGTAATATCGCTAGCATTTATTTGACACCAGCGTTTAGAATCATGATCTGTACTTCTATTTGTAAAACACAACCAGACATCGCTTCCGAGCATCTTTTGAAAGACGATATTCTAGCGCAAACTGAAGGCTCTGGAGGTGCACAACTGGTGAATGTCCTTAGGCTCCGTTTGGTTAGATTGAATTGTAATTGAATTGTAATTACAATACTATTAAATTGAAAATGAGATATTAAAATTGTAATTCAATTTTAATTCCTTTGTTTAGAAGATCTTAAGAATTGCTAGAATTAAGGTTCTTATACCAATTCTTGTGTTTGGATCCTTATAAATTTATAAAATCTAGAATTAGAATTAGTTTTTTAATATCTAACTATAATTTAGTACTTTATTTCATTGAGTAAATGAAATACTTAGTTTTATATATCAAAGCAATTTATTACTTACATATATAAGATAAAAAATAACTAAATTTATTATGTACATTTATATTAGAACTTTTGTTGTATGAGTAATATATACATATTTATATATATATATATATATATATATCAATTTTATAATTTACTATATACGTACATACGTATGGAAAACTTTTTTATTATTATTACGCCAGGAATATTAATTTGATGATTGGAATTCTCACAAGTAACATGTAAAACATCCTTGTTCCTCTATTTTTTTAATTATTTTATAAATGTTTACTTTTTAGTTTTTTTTTTTTGTATTTTAGTGGAAAATTTTTATATAGTTGAAAGTAAAGACCATTCATTTATGTATAGATTACTAATTAATTATTTTTATTTTTAGTATATAATGATATATGAAATAATATATATTTCGTCTTCTTGAAAGCTTACATAATTTTTAGTAAAAAAAAATTCAAGTATAGTTCAAAAATTATTTATACATTTGATAAAAAAAGTTGTTAACCCATAATTAATACCTTTAAATTTTTTAATAAATTACGAGTATGATTCTACATTTGATAGTTTTTGTCAAACAAAATACGATACTAATTTTAATATATAGATCTCATTAATAATTATTAAACTGATGTATACTTAGTTTGCACAATGAATAAAAAAAAATGTTATTTTAACTAAAAGCAAAAAAAAATAAAATAAAAAAAAGTCCACCGCTGAAAGTCTCAAAGAAAAGGGGGAACGTTGAAAAAAAAAAGAAGCAGTGCATGTGTAGCGCTGCAGAAAAAAGGGGGAAACAAAAACATCTACTTAAACATAAAAATGACCCGTTTCCTTATAACCCGGAAAACGACCCGCATGTGACCCGCGTTTTTCTTAAAGTCCCTAGAGTTCGAATTGCAATTATTTACTCCCACAAAAGAATTGAAAATAAAGAATTGAAGCTCATCCTGAATTATAATTCCAATTCCGGTAGCTTTATTTTTGTCAGTCAAACACAAGAATTGGAATTGTTGGGTCCAATTCAATCCAACCAAACGGAGCCTTAATGTTTTCGCATTCTGCAGTAGATGCTCAATGAACACGAATTCATTCTCTACATTGTTAAACTTTTTCGTTCCTATTTCCTTCAGATTTTCGATAAAGTTTCTGGGGAATGTAGCTTCAACAGGACACTGAACTACTTCCTCCACATAAGTCATAACTTGTCCAAAGTATCTGTACGATATTCAAAGAAAGATTAAACCAGTATTTTAAAATTAACTAATAACTATAAGCATTTATTGCATCAGGGTATACATGATTGAAAACGAGCATTTCAAGATTACGATTTTTTTCAATTAACAATGGCAATGAAGAGAATAAGGAGTTTGATCCAGGCTGAGTATACAGTTTGTGTAGTTTGTAACGTGTTCTGTTTTGTATATACATATGTACTGTTTTGCCCTTAGTTCTTGTATAGGAGTGTAGTTAAGATGTAGGGTATAGAAGTCTTTTTGTAGGTCTCTGTATATATAGTTTGTACAGCACAAACACGGCACACAGATTCATTATTATTTGTGTCAATATACAGAAGAAATTCTTTTCCCAATTTTTCTCTCAACCTCTCTTCTTTCGTGAGCACAAACCCTAGATGACAGGTCCATCAATCCTTCTACATGGTAGCAGAGCAGGTTAATCCTGCTTCTGAAAACTGTTCTAGCTTATAGATCTTGCAAAACCTCACAAACCGCTCTCAAAAATTCGAAGAAATGGAGGAGAATCGATTCGGAGAAGGTTTGCGATGAATGACGGGAAGAACTGATGAAGTTCAAATTGAGCAAAGGAATGAAGGATTTCAGGATGAGCGAAGCTTGAATGAAGTTCGAAGAGAGAATTCAGCCATGAATTTTGGTGGATACATGCATCCATTGACGCTATTTCTATATGACAATCACTAACTGTCAATTGACAGCGAACAATTATGTGACATGGAGTCACTCAATGAGAAGAGCTTTAAGCTCGAAGAACAAGCTGGGGTTCATCATGGGAACTGTGGAGAAACCGATGGCTGGAAGTCTTGAATTTGAGCAGTGGTGCAGAGTCAATGATACTATGGTCTCCTGGATATTGAACTCAATCTCGAGTGATCTTCTTGAAGGTTTTAATATGGCTAATGATGCAGCTGAGTTATGGCAAGACTTGAAGGATGGATTTGGCACTAGCAATGCGCCTCAGATCTACCAGCTGAAACGAGAAATTGGAAAGTTCACACAAGGTAATCTCAATCTGTCTGGTTATTATACAAAATTGAAGAAACTTTGGGATGAGTTGGGTAGCATAGATCCTCCAGATGTTTGCACATGCAATGGTTGTACTTGCAAACATAACAGACCGAATGGAGGAAAGGAAATCAGAGACAGGCGTATGCAATTCTTAACAGGACTTAATGATGCTTATTTGCCTATTAAGAATCAGATATTAGCCACAGAGCCTTTGCCAGATGTGAAAAAGGCTTATTCCATGGTGATGAATGTGGAGAGACAGCAGTTGTTGCATATGTCTCTGGATAGTTCCACAACTCACAGTGCAATGATGACACATAATCCTGTAGTTCAAAATGCAATGGTGGCTCATAAAACTGGCTTCAACGCTAGTTCAAGTTCAAAAGGAGGATACAACAATACGGGAAATCATGCTGGTTCTAGAAACAGTCCTAGTAACATTGGAAAGGAGAATGAACTAAGGAGAGACAAGGCTGTGAAGAAGCTGCTTAAATGTGACTATTGTGGCATAAATGGTCATCTGAGAGAGGGGTGTTTCAAGCTTATAGGGTATCCTGATTGGTTCAAGGAATTGAAGGAACAAAGGTCATTCCAACCAGGAAGAATCTCAGCACATCTGGTTGAAACTGATCTAGAGACTAAAAGTGACAAGAAAGAAACTGGTGAACTAATGGGCATGATGAACAACATAAAAAGGATGGAGCAGGAGCTTAGCAGGATGCTTAAAGGGAAAGGAATAGACAGAGAACACATCAACTTTGCTCACTTCTCGGATTTCGCAGGTATGACAACTTTCAGAGCTCTAAATTCATTAGAATTCATGTTGTTACTATGCTGGATTATAGATTCTGGTGCCACTAGCCATATGACCTATGATCTTCCGATTTTAAACCAGTTCAAACCAGTAAATACACTTACACGCGTATATTTACCAGATGGTAGTGTCAATAATGTGAAAAACAAAGGACAGATAGTTTTAAACCATGACTTAGTACTGCATGACTGTTTACATATCCCTACATTCAAACATAATCTCATTTCAGTTTCCAAATTAGCATCATCCTCAAAGATTGATTGCTATTTTTCAACAACCTTTTGCCTGTTGCAGGACAAAGTGACTAGGCAATTGGTTGCCGTTGGAAGGGTTGTGAACCAGGTTTACATTGTTGATCCACAATCCTTTTCCAAAGGCAAGATTCTAGATTTCATTAGAACACATGTTAATCACCCTTTTGTGAGCAATCTAGAAACTGTTGATTTGCATTCTTCCAACCATGTAGATAGCATGAATAACGCCTTATGGCACAATAGGTTGGGACACCCTTCTGAAAAGGCTGTGAGATTATTGACGTTATTTCATCCATCAGAAAATAATACTAATGTTTGTGACATTTGTCCTTTGTCTAAGCAACATCGTTTATCATTTCCTGTTAGTACTATTCATACCACAGACATTTTTGAATTAGTGCATATGGATATATGGGGTCCATATAGACAGACATCTCTCTGTGGAGCTCATTATTTTTTAACTATTGTGGATGACTATAGTAGAGTTACATGGACCTTTCTCATGAGAGATAAAACCCAAGTCCTTTCCCAACTCAAAACCTTTATTAAGATGATTCAAACCCAGTTTCAAAAACCCCTTAAAACCGTTAGAACAGATAATGGCCTGGAATTTCTTAGCCAAGAATGCCGAAACCTTTTCTTAGATTTAGGGATTATACACCAAAAATCTTGTGTTTATACACCCCAACAGAATGGTGTAGTTGAAAGAAAGCACAAACATCTTCTCCAAGTGGCTAGGTCACTTCTTTTCCAATCAGGGTTACCAAAAACCTTTTGGGGGGATTCCATACTAACCGCCACATATCTCATCAATCGTTTACCTTCTTCAGTTCTTGAAGGAAAGACTCCTTATGAAATCCTCTTCACAAAAATCCCAGAATATCACCATTTAAGAACATTTGGCTGCTTATGTTTCGCTACCAATACTACTCCACATAAAACCAAATTTGATCCTAGAGCCATTAAAGCCATCTTCATTGGGTATCCACATGGTCAAAAGGCATACAAGCTTTTTGATCCTGTTACTCAAAAAGTATTTGTATCCAGAGATGTGGTCTTTCATGAGACCATTTTTTCCTTATAAGTCTGAAGTTCCAACCTTTTCTCAACCTAGTCCGATTTCTCCATCTGTTGACGAATCCTGGCCTGATCCCTCTCACTTTTCGATACCTGCTGCTTCTTCATCAGAATCCTTACCTGTCCTATCATTCAGCCCTAATTCTGCAACATCTACATCTCATGATACTCCTTCGTCTACTTTTCATTCACCAGTTTCGAATCATGAGAATGTTGAGCTTGATTCTTCTCCTATCCCAGTCCCTTCTCTCCGGAGAAGTACCAGAACTACAACTGCTCCTGTTTAGATGCAAGATTATGTCACTAAACACATAAAACATAAACCTCCATCCACTGTTTCAGTCATGCTTGCTAATCAGCCTTCCTTTGACATATACACGTATCAACCTGTTTTCTCTCCCACACACTTGGCTTTCTTAGCCCAAATAGACAGTATTCCTGAACCCAAAACATACCACCAAGCCAGAACTTGTCCAGAATGGATAGCAGCCATGAAATATGAATTAGATGCTTTAGAAAGAAATCGTACTTGGGAACTAACATCTTTGCCTCCAGGAAAACAAGCTATTGGTTCCAAATGGGTGTACAAAGTTAAGTATCACTCTGACGGAACCATAGAACGATATAAGGGTCGGTTAGTTGCCAAAGGATATAATCAAATAGAGGGTGAAGATTTTTACGACAGTTTTTCTCCTGTAGCCAAAATTGTTACTGTCAGGATCCTTTTGGCATTAGCTTCAGCACACAGTTGGTCTCTCCATCAACTCGACGTCAACAATGCTTTTCTCCATGGCAGTTTGGAAGAAGAAGTCTACATGAAGCCTCCTGATGGCTATACTATGGCCAAACCAGGTCAGGTATGTAGATTAAGACGGTCTTTATATGGTTTAAAACAGGCATCCAGACAGTGGAATGCCGAGTCTACGTCCAGAATTCAGTCTTATGGTTTCATTCAGTCTAAACATGATCCTTGCTTGTTTACTGTACACAAAAGCTCCCAGTTTATGGCCCTTATAGTCTATGTGGATGATATTTTGATTACTGGCTCTGTTGAATCTGAGATAATCAAAGTCAAAGAGTTTTTGCATGCTGCTTTTACCATTAAAGATCTTGGATATGCCAAGTATTTTCTGGGTATTGAACTAGCTATATCCCCTGAAGGCATGTACCTAAGTCAAAGAAAGTATATCTTTGATATTCTCCGAGATACTGGTCTCTCAGGTTGTAAGGCTACTACCACACCTTTCCCTAAGGGTTTCCAATTCAGTGAAGATAGTGGAGCACCAATTCCTAATGCATCTCTGTACCGAACGTTGGTTGGTAAGCTCCTTTACCTAAATTTCACTCGGCCTGATCTCTCTTATATTGTACCACAACTCAGTAAATATGTTCATGCACCCTGTGTGGAGCATTGGAATGCTCTGTTACATACTTTGAAGAATCTTAAAGAAACTGCTAGCACTGGTTTGTTTTATCCATCACATTCAGACCTCAAGTTGGAAGCTTATGCTGATTCCGATTGGGGATCCAATCCGGTTCACCGACGCTCTGTTACGGGGTACTGCATCTTTCTTGGCTCAACTTTGGTTTCTTGGAAGTCAAAACAGCAGACTACAATATCCTATTCATCTGCTGAAGCCGAGTATAGAAGCCCGAGCATCATCAGTAAGGAATTACTGTGGATTTCTTATTTGCTTCAGGATTTTCAGATTCCATTATCCCTTCCTATTCCACTGTGGTGTGATAACCAAGCAGCTATTAACATCACTGAAAACCCTGTCTTTCATGAACGGACAAAGCATTTGGACATTGACTGCCACTTTGTCCGGGAACAGTATCAGAAAGGCTTTTTAGTTCCTTTGCACATCTCCACGCATGAGCAACTTGCAGACTTATTTACTAAGTCTTTGGCCTTTCCATAGTTTACTACTTTACTCTCCAAGCTTGGTGTGAAGAATATTCTTCACTTCTCAGCTTGCGGAGGGGATGAAGAGAATAAGAAGTTTGATCCAGGCTGAGTATACAGTTTGTGTAGTTTGTAATGTGTTCTGTTTTGTATATACATATGTACTGTTTTGCCCTTAGTTCTTGTATAGGAGTGTAGTTAAGATGTAGGGTATAGAAGTCTTTTTGTAGGTCTCTTTATATATAGTTTGTACAGCACAAATACGGCACACAGATTCATTATTATTTGTGATAATATACAGAAGAAATTCTTTTCCCAATTTTTCTCTCAACCTCTCTTCTTTCGTGAGCACAAACCCTAGATGACAGGTCCATCAATTCTTCTAGAGGCAATGCTTCCAGAGACAGAATCCCATCTTTGCACACATGAAGCTCTAGATGTATTAAGTTTTTGAACGTTGGTAACAAACCGAAAAACCATGTGAGGCCTTCATGAGAAAACAATGGAAAGGAATTGCCATATGTATCTACTAAAGTTTTAGTTTCAAATACAAAAGTAGTAATCTATAACGGAAATCACGGGTCAGATAGCTTGTAATACAAATACAAATCAAGTTCAAAAAATACCTCCAAGGCCTCAACGGTTGCACAAATTGATTGCACATTTTGTGCCTGATGAAGGACCCCAAGTAAATCATCAGGACTTTGGTATGGCATCTTTATCAACATTTACTTTAACCGAATCAAGACTTTGCAGGCTCCGAACAAGTTTCCAATCATCTAAAATTCCAGTGAAGTCAAAATGTTTAAGATTCCGCGCATTTATAGTCACTTTCCCATTGCCATCTATTACTACAAGAAAATGGCCGAACACCCACGGCTTCCCATGACAAAAATTTTCCGTGGGTAAATACCCACAGAACACTGAGGAAATCCCGTAAAATTAAAAAAAAAATTGCATTTCTGTTTGACCACGTTATACCCATGAACTTACCCTCGGAATCACCCACGGCTACCCCTGACCGTGGGTATTCCGTGGGTAAATTTTTTCCGCCAGCTCCCGCCAATTATTTTCCTATGGATTACCCACGAATTCGTCCGTGTGAAATGTTTCTATGGATAATTTGTGGGTAAATCAATCACGAGTTATTCGGTGATTTTAATTTTTTTTCTTTTTGATTTAGTCTTATTTTATGATTTTTACATAGCCTATATTGTATAGTCTAATAAAGCTCTACTAAGTTACAATGTGCTCTTCACAATAGCAAAATTAGTGATAAGAATTAAATGTATAATGATTGGTAGTGGAAACTTAGTCACTTTACAAAAATATAAAATATATATATATATATATATATATGTATATTTCAGAAGGTTAACATATAAAGAAAAATAGTTTACACATTTGTAGTTTATAGTTATACTTTCATAAAAATAATGGTTTCAACATTTCTATTATATATGTATTCATTATTTTATCATATTTGTATAGAGTATTTGAAATAGTACTTAGTTTATGTATGAAACATTTAACTCTTTAATAAATTCCTACAGAGCACGAGTTGTAATTAGTACACGTACTCTTGTTAGTTATACCATAATCTCTTAACTTGACATATACAAATATGACTTCATATTTGTATATAAACCAAATAATTATAAAATTTAATTCTCTTACAAAGTAAAGTATGTCTTAAATAAAGAGAAAAGTGAATGTTTCATTCATATTTGTAAGGAAGATATTTTGCCAACATATAATTGAGATGTCTTGTCAAATAATACTAAATTATAATTAAAATAATAAAGTTAAGGAATGTACCTTCATAACTAGAAGAGTTCCAATATTTTAGGATTTGATATTTGTTATGTAATAATTAGATTCAACTGGGAAAAATTAAATATTCTATTAAGGATGCAATTGATATTATTGGCATTCTTATAGGATGAGATTTGACAAAAAAAGGTGCAAGGGTGTTGTTGCATAATTGCTAGGGTGTCATTTTAGAATTATTTTTTCAAAGAAAAATAAAAATATTTTATAGTAGTTGAAAATTTTAAAAAGTGTTCAATTTTCACATGTTCCCGCTTCTTCCTTTTTCACTCCCCCGCTTTCTTTTTAATCCGGATACTATTTCCTCCATTATTCCCCCACTTCATTTTCTCTCATTTTTTAAATAAAAAAAGATAAGAAAAGACAAGATTCTTGCTCCTCTCTTTTCTCTTCGTTCACTCTCTCCCCCTCCCTTCACACAAACAGTTAACGACGCCACCTCCACATCACTACAATAGGCAATCTAAAAACCAAAAAATTTCTCTCTAATAGCACGACAACCACCTCTCCAATCGGCGACTATGAAGCTGAGCCTATTTTATAGTGCTTTAAAATCCCCTAATTTGATGTTCTTCTCCAGTTTTAGGGCATACTTAAGTTGTTTAGCAGGTTAATTCTTGCTAATTTAACTGAATCTTGCGAATTTTAGGGGATCCCATTCCCGAGACCATTCCGGTAACAAAGCGGCACCCAGAGTGGTTCAGGCCACTCGAGGCTTCGCTAGAGAAGAAGGACACTGTCGAGGACACCGATGGGTCGTCGACATACACTGCTGCCGCCGCCATATATCATTTTGGGGACACGAGGATCGAGTTTCCCATTATCGAAGAAGTCGCAGCGACCTTAACGGAAGAGGAGTCGCTGAAAATGGTAAGATTTACCCAACTGCAAGTTACATTTTTCTTGAAACCTTGTGATACCTTTGCTGACGTCGATTATGTATTTGTTGCAGTTGACTACTGCGATGGCCAGCATCCTTATACGAGAGAAAGCATTGAAGCAAGAGATTGCCAGCTTGCAAATCGAGAAGGGGCTCCTCGAGCAAGAGAAGCTATCGAGCGAGGAGTCGAGGAAGGAGGAGCAGGCCCTGAGGCTTGCTAGGGAGCAGGAGCTGGCCAAGGTTCAGGCCATGTATAAGGAGATCGAGGCCAAAGTGACAGAATATAGGGAGACTCATGTTCCCAGATCAGATTTGCAGGCATGGATGATCACTTTTTGGGCAAGAATGGTGCCCACTGGTGGGTTGGCGAGCATCCTGCTGAGCATCAGCAATGATGCCAAGGCATTGGGGGGACATGGTGTAGCCGTAGCCGCTCTTGAAAGGATGGAGAGCGGAAGGACTATTAATGCTGGATGGCTTCAGCAATTTATAAGGCCGCATCCTAAGAAAACTCTCCATGAACCCATTAAGAATGGATTGCAACAACTTTCCGATGGCCAACTCCCCCTGTTTGGGCCATTATACAGTGCCGTTGCGCAGATGGGGTCATCGTCGGAGATCGCCTCCTTCGAGGGAGATGCCCTTAAGATGCTCCCTGATGATGCTTGAGAGGAGGTGCGCATGCCGGAGCTGGCCCCAGACTTCATCGGTGTCGAGGTGGAATGGGAAGAGGATTCCTCAAAGCAGGTCGAGGAAGATGGGTAGAATGACCGGGAGCCGGTGGAGGAAGGGACGTCGGCTCCTCCACCCGTCAAGGAGACAAATGAAAGCCAGCCAAGCCAGCCGCCTAGTCAGAATGAAGTATGAATCTTCTTCTTGTAATAGGGTTTTTGCTGCTAAGGTTGTAGACCTTATACTGTTGTAGTGATTCTCAAACCTTTTTGCCACTTATTAATTAGATCGGTGCCTCTTTTCCCTAACATATGATATACTTCTGTCCCTTATGCCAGGATTCGTACTTCGTTCATTTCGTACGTCTATTGATTCTTGAGGAAGACGAGGTTACGAGGTTTCCCATGTATGCGATGATTTCTTCAATCTTGAGTAAATTTGGGGATGTTCATAATACTGACAAAGTGAGATCCCTCGAGAAAGAGCTTACCGATGCTGTTAATGCACTTAACCTACGGGCACACTCCCGCTTGATACAGCGCTTCAAACAGCAAGAGGAAGAGTGGAAGCACCGACTTCACCAATACTACTTGGACTTTCATGCTTCCTTGTCTCTGGAAGCCAACATTTACGAGGAGATAGAGATGCTGAAGGAGGAAAATTCTCGACTGAGGACGCGCGAGAACATTGTTGTGTCTCCGTGGTTCCTCGAAAAGTTTGACACGCTTGCTCTGGTCGAGTCTCAGATAAAGGTTTGTACTGAACATTTTATCGCTGCCATCGACCTCCTAGAGAAGAGGACCAAAGAGGCGGAGTTCTATTCGAGGCAGGCTGCTGTCCTACAGAAACATACTGGTGGACCACGAGATTTCTTTACCCATTCTCGAAGACGTCGATCCGGAGGATGAAGCGAAGGAAAGGGCAGCTGCTGAGGAGTTTCTTCTTAGAATCGATGACCAGGATTGGGAGATTCTAGATTTGACGGATAAACTTAGTCATTGTCTCCATAGGCTTAGGGCAGTGGGATGTTCTGGCGTTATTAAGCCCTCCTGTTTTAACCCTAAGGGGACGGAACTCAAGATTTAGGTAAATACCATGTATGTTGATATATTTTCATAACCCCACACTTCGTGTCAGAGGATTATATTTAAACTGAGTTGTGTTAGCGTCAGTTATTTGTTTGTACTCTAGAATGTTTGTATAGCGCTTGTTTGGCCGAATGTTAAGTACACGGCTCTGTCGAGGAATTGGATACGGACCCCTCGATTTATCAATACCGTGATCTATGGTAGGTGCGAGGAGAGGTCCCGTCTTAGGCGTCAAAATGTTGAATACACGGCTCAATCGAGGATGGCACTATAGAGGGTGTCCATCTCGATGAGTGGTCATAAGATAGTGTCGACACATGCAAATGTATAGAAGAAATATATAATGACTTTTATTAATAATTACCCGAGGACCCCGATTAGCATTACATACAAATGAATGAAAGCAATCAAATCACTTAGCAGACAAACTAGTAAATAACATGAAAGGGATCTAAACGTAGAACCTGCGTAGATTCTGATTGTTCCACCATCGTGGGAGAATGGTTCTCGTTCATCTGTTGTCTGCAATCGGTAGCTGCCCGAAAGAGAGACTTGAATGACTCGATAGGGTCCTTCCCAGTTTGCTACTAATTTCCCAGGGGTCTCTACTCGACTGGCTTCGTTTTTTCTAAGTACCAAGTCCCCGATTACGAAGTTAGTGCTCTTGACTCGTTTGTTATAGTTTTCTCTAAGGATCTCTTTGTACTTAGCTTCCCAGACTCTTACGACATCTCGCCGTTCCTCGAGCAAGTCAAGGTTAGTCAGGATATCTTCGTTGATGGTGTCTTCGACAGAGTTGATTGTTCAAGGACTTGCCAGGCCAATTTCAACTGGGAGGACGGCATCCATTCCATAGACTAAACTGTATGGTGTTTCGTCTGTCGAGGAATGAGCCGTGGTGCCGTAAGCCCATAAAACATGAGAAAGCTCTTTGACCCATGCCCCTTTTGCATTATGCAACCTTGTCCTAATTCCATGTAGGATGGTTCTGTTAACTGACTCAGCTTGTCCGCTCGCCTGCGGATGGGCGACAGCGGAGAATCGACGCTCGATCTGCATCTCCGCAAACCATAACTTGAAGGGATCACTCTCGAACTGGGTCCCGTTGTCTGATACAATTACCTTGGGCACTCCAAGCAGACAAACTACATTTTGCCAGAAAAAATTCAGCACTTCTCTTCCAGATATCGAGGCCAACGGTTTCACTTTCACCCATTTGGTGAAGTAATCCACGGCTACAAGGACCCATCGCAGCTCTCCCGCCACTTTTGGAAAGGTGCCAATGATGTCGGTCCCCCATTAGTAGAATGGCCAAGGACTTTTTATGGTTACCATCTCATGCTGTGGCTGTCGGGTTATTGGTGAAAACCTTTGGCATCTGTCGCACTTTTGGACGAAGTGGTAAGCATCCTTTAAAAATAGTGGACCAGAAGTATCCTGCTCGAAGGACCTTTTTTGCCAAACTTCTTGCTCCTATGTGGGCTCTGCACGATCCCTCGTGGACTTCTTCGAGGATATATGCTGCCTGATTTGGTCCGACGCACCGCAACATCGTTAACAAATACCCATGCTTGTAGAGGATTCTATCTTTCAGAGTATACTTGACTGCTTTTAGCTTCAACGCTCGAGCTTCGTGCTTGTTATCGGGGAGCGTCCCATTCTTGAGGAATTGGATGAATGGAGTCATCCATGTATCCTTATCCTCGGTAATAGCCAGGGAAACTTTGGGCTGAATGCTGAGTTTAGGGAGTATCTCGACCCAAACTTTGTGACTGAGATTAGCGAAATTTGATGAAGCGAGCTTACTCAGCGTGTCGGCTCTTTTATTGCTGGTTCTGAGGATGTGAGAGATAGAGCATTCCTCAAATTTGTCTTTGATTTCCAGGACTTTCTCGAGATATGGCCGAAGGTCTTCCTCACGGACTGTGTACTCACCTTTAATTTGCTTAACAACCACTTGAGAGTCGCTAAAAACTTGCAAGTTTCGAACTCCTAACTTGAGGGCCATATTTAACCCCGTGATCATTGCCTCATATTTAGTGACATTATTGGTAACTGGGAAACCAAATCGTCGGGCGTAGGAATATTCTACATCGTATTCCTTGACTTCCTCGATTTCTCGAGATGCTGCTGGTTTTGCTATGATGATACCTGCTCCTCCCCCGTCTTTACAAGAAAAGCCGTCGATGTATAGAGTCCAGGCTCAATGATCTATGGAGGGATGTTCCTGTAGTTGCTTACTCAGTGTTGATTCTTGCGTGGTATCTGGAGCTCTGGGCATTTCCACCAGGAAATCTGCGAATGCCTGCCCTTTTATAGCTGTGCGGGGCTTGCACTCGATATGGTGTTCCCCCAGCTCAACTGCCCATTTCATCATTCTGCCTGAAGCCTCTGATTTGAGGAGGACTTGCTAGATATGTTGCTCGGTTAAGACTTGTATAGGGTGAGCTTGAAAGTACGGGCACAATTGTCGGGCAACAAGCACAAGGCTTAGGATAAGTTTTTCCATAGGGGTGTACCGAGATTCCGCCTCTTGCAGGACTTTGCTGACAAAGTACACAGGGAGATCTCTATTGTCTTTTTTCTGAATAAGCACCGCGGATATGACCGTTTCTCGAGCGGCTAAATAGATATATAGAACTTCTTCTGGCTATGGTTTCGCCAGCATGGGGAGTTGCTTAAGATGTTCCTTTAACTCTTGGAAGGCTTTTTGACCTTCTTCAGTCCATTGGAAACCTCTCCCTTTTCTTCGAGTCTTGAAGAAGGGAAGGCTTCTTTTTGCTGCTCGAGACAGAAACCTGTTAAGCGCTGCCAGAGATCCTGTGAGTCTCTGTTCCTCCTTGACGGTCTTCGGGGCCTCCATTGAAAGAATTGCTTCGACTTTTGAAGGATATACGCTTATTCCATCTTTTGACACTTGAAATCCGAGGAACTTCGCAGAACCCACACAGAAGGCGCACTTCTTTGGGCTGAGTTTCATGTTAATTCTTCGAAGGATTGTGAAGATCTCTTTCATGTCTTCAACCACCCTGCTATCCAAATTGCTCTTGATAACCATGTCATCCACGTAGATCTCGATGTTCCTTCCGATCTGATTGTGGAAAGCCCTATTAACCAAACGCTAGTAGGTGGCCCCAGCGTTTTTCAACCCAAACTGCATTTTGTCGTAACAGTACACTCCAATCTCTGTGATGTAAGCCGTTTTCTCAGCGTCTTCATGGGCCATATGAATCTGATGGTATCCCTTATATGCTTCGAGAAAGCTAAGGGTCTTGTAACCGGTAATTCCTTCCACCATTTAATCGATTACGGGCGAAGGGTAGCAGTCCTTGGGGCAATATTTGTTCAGGCCTATGTAGTCTTGACACATGCGCCAATAATTATCAGGTTTTTGAACAAGAACTGGGTTGGCCAGCCACGTGGGCAAGAGCACTTCTTTGAGGATATTAGCTCGAACCAGTTTGAGGGTTTCCTCATTAATCACATCATTGCGATCTCGAGCAAAAATACTTTTCTTTTGTTTAACCGGCTTGACATTGGGATCTACATTTAGCTTGTGTTCGATGATATGTCGAGAAACTCCAGTCATATTAGATGGCGACCATGCAAAGATGTCACGAAAGTCGCGTAACAAGGCAATTGCCTCGGCCTGCAGCATTCCATCGATGGATATACCAAGTTTGATGGTTTTTTCTGGCTCTCTTTCATCCAGGATTAACTCTTTCGTCTTGCTGCTGAGTGGAGGGTTCTGAGGTTGATTGAGATCCATGTCCTGGGTTTCTTGTTTTCCCTCATTATACTCAGCCGATGATACTCCTTGCAGAATCGAATAACATTCTGATGTGGTGACAGCTAGCTCCGGCTTTACTGTTTTCTTTTCAATTTTTACTGCCGTGAGAAGACATTCTCGAGAGCTGCGTTGGCATCCTTGGACTATTCCTATCCCATATTCCGTTGGAAATTTCATAACCAAGTGGTAGGGTAAGTAGACAGCGCGGGCTTGGCACATCCATGGCCGTCCTTGAATCACATTAAATGGCGAGGGAGCATCGATTATGGCGAAATCTATTGTTAGATTTACCGTTCGAGGATACGTCCCTACCGTGATTTGAAGCGTGACGATTCCACTTGGGATTATCTTTTGCCTAGAGATGCCCGTCAATGGTAAGGTAGCCGGGCGCTAGTCTGGATTTTGTATGTTCATTCTTTTGAAACAGTCATTGTAGATGATGTCGACCGGGCTGCCATTGTCGACATACACACGGCTTACCCCCATATTACCTATGATGGCTTCGATAACCATGGCGTCGCTGTGGGGACAAACCCCGGGAACAACGTTACTATCGGTGAAGACAATTGCCTCAGTTCCTCTAAACCGCTTGTGACTTGGCTCTTGTGGAGGATTTTTTGTTGCTTGTCGAACAGAGGCTTTCATTGTTGTGGTCAACAGAATCTCGAGGGCTGCTCCATAAATCGTTCCGACATTGTGGGTAATCTGCTTAGCAGGATCTAGGGGAGTAATTAACTGGATTGGCTGTGGTCTGTTATCGAGAGTTTGCTGAGCAAGTTGCTGTGAGTTGTCCCTCGGCTGCCAATTATTTCCTCGGTTGTTCCTGCGGGACCCACAATTATTGTTTCGCTTGGGGATGTTGCGCGGGAAAGTAGATTTTTCTCGAGAACCGCGGGTATCTCCTCGAGCGGTGCCTTGTGAATTCTGCATATATTGTTAGAATTTCCCAGACTTCACTCCTGCTTCAATTTCCAACTTGAGTTCCCGACAATCTTCCGTATCGTACCCATGGTCCTTATGATATTCGCAA